GTGTGTGTGTGTGTGTGAGAGAGAGAGAGAGAGAGAGAGAGAGAGAGAGAGAGAGACTCATGATTTGTTCAATTGTGTCAACTGTTTCAACAAGAGTTAGATGTGGCGTTCAGGCAACTGCCAAGCGCAGTATGTCTTGGAGTCTCCTGCTACTACATGCCTTTGACAGTGAAACGGTTTTCACCTGTTCGCAGTAGCGAATGCAGATCCCAGGGCTCGATCCCTAGACTTTACCTTACCTGTGTACATTACCTGTGTCGACCCCAGGAGCTGAACCCACAACCTGTGTCTGTTCCCACAATTGGTAGGTTGCCGTAGGTCTGCAGGTTGTAGGGGATCGAGCTGTAGACCTGTTGGTTGTAGGTATTAGCAGGTCCTAGGAGTCGTAGCTGTAGCTCCTCCGAAGGGTCAAAGTCGTAGCTGCTAATGTCCTGAAAGGTCAAGGTCGTAGCTGCTACAGTGCCAAAAGGCCAAGTCTACGGACTTCCGGAAGGTCCGGAAGTGGCCTTTCGGAGCCTGCTCACGTTTAGGCAGAGGCAAGTGGGCAAGTGGTCGAGTCCACCCTTGCTGAGTCAGCGGTCCCGGTCCCAGTCAGTCCTAGTCCAGGCAAGCAAGTACCGTATGGGACTGTGTGCACCAGGGGCATGGGAAAGGGCCGGACCAACGAGCAACAGAAGTATAAATCAAGAGGCAGCGCCCAGCCATTCATTCATTCCTGCATAAGCCATGCGGAAGCGCTGCCACAGCGACTTGTGCGAGGTGGTCTGCAGTGTGCCCGAAGACGAAGTGGGCGAGAAGGAGAGCTTAGCCATAGCGATAGGGGTAGTAGCGGCCATAGCCGCCATAGCTGTTAGAAGAGTGTAGCGTGTGCGTGTGTATGCGTGTACAGAGTGTCGCGTGTGGGATATCCAGGGTGATCCTAAGTTGAGTGTGTGTGAACAGTAGAGTGGGGCGCAGTGGCGAACAGTGAGTTGTACAGGCGCTGATGCGCCATAGCCATCTGAAGCGAACTTGTATCTGAACTGTGCTCTTGGTTACTATATCTGTGAGTTTGAGTGGGCGCTTGTCACGTTTGCTGTGTTACCTGTTTACATGCATGCAAAGTGTGAATGAAAGCGAGTCTGATTGCAACAGCAAGGAAAAGCGAATTAGAGGAAGTAGACGTGTAAGGCTCCTTGGTTACTTCATACCACAGTGCATAGTATCATCAGTGTTTTTTTTTTTTTTTTTTTTTTCTGTGTTCCACGTATCGAAGTCTGAATTATTCAGAAGTGTGCAGTTGTTGCATACCGTATAGGTGCAGACCAGAACAAGAACCGACCTTTCAATACAAAGTATAAGATAGCACAGCGGAAGACTTAGATACCAATGATCCGAACAATCAATATTG